CTTTTAACAATTCTTGTATTCTTTTCAATTCTTTTTTGATTTCTGAAATATTTTCATCTGTTTCTTAATATATTACTATTCGTGCACAGTCATATTTGTTTTGTATTGCTTCTAGTTCTTGTTTCAGTTCTTTTTCTAATTCTTCTTTAGTGAAGTCTAATCCTTTGAGTTCTTCTTTTAATGTTAAAAGATTATTTCAATATGTTTTTATTTCTAATATGTCTAGATAACTTGGTTTATATATTATAGTCGAAGTTTTGTAAGTAGGTTTTTCTTTTTGTCCATATTGTGTGGTTTTAATTGTGAGCAGAAATATAAGTCTTGTATTCTTATTACTTGTGCTTTTAAAGCGTCGTTAGTTAAATCTAGAAGTAGGTCTAGTTTGATTAGGTCTTGTAGTCCTTCTTGATATTGTTTAATTACTTGGTTTGCCTGTTCTCTATTATTTCGATTAATCTCTGAATTTATTGAATTCTATCTTTAATAAGTTTTCTTGTTGTCCAATCTGTCTGTAGTTTACTATAGTGTTGGCTATCTTGTTCACTATATAACAAACTCCAAATACTATTACAACGTCTCTTAGTAGTAATATAAAGTGTAATGATGCTCTGTCATATGCTACTGCTGTTATAGCTAAGTGGTTCATTCACAAAAAGGTTGTGTTGATTAGTGGTAATGATAGATCTACTAATTGTTCCAGTGTTAAATTTGTTTTATTAATTCTTTAATTGATTTTAGTATATCCGATTCAATGAACTTGGTTGTGATTAACTGTTTTATTTGTTCTTCGAATAGTTCTTGATTGACTGATAAAGATATTAATTTTGTTTTATAATATGATCATTGGTTTGTTGCCTTAATGTTTGTTTGTTCTGATAATATCAAGTTCTTGTATTCTTTTAAGATATCTCTTATTTTAATTTTCCAATATTGTTTCGTTCTAGGCATTCACTTCAGATAGTCTGATTATTCTTTGATTGATTAAATTGTATACGTATTCAGGTGTTACTCTTCTGTTCTTTAATTGGGATATTTCTCTAATTGTTGTATATACTAGGCTATGGTTGTTTATTCTAGCTCTTCTTGCAGCTATTTTTAATAGTTGGTGTTTGATATTGATATAAGATAATGCATTTCTTGTTAAACTTCCTATTAGTGGTTGGTTTCTTTGTAAGTCATTATCTCTCAGTAGTCTGGTTTGGTATACTTCTTGTAAGGCTCCTCGTAGGAATATTAATACTAGTTATGAGTGTGTTACTGGTTCTTGTATGTTAATTACATTGGATCTGTTTTGTATAGTCATACAATTGTTTGTTAACAGTTTCTTTCAGTATCCAATTGAATCTTTTATTGTTGGATCCTTTTAATGGTCCTCTTCGTTTATATTTCTTAGTATTTTACACTTCAGGTTTAGGCTATTACAGCTTTTACACATTTGGTTGAGTTCGTAGATACACCTTATTCTTGAAATTCTACAATTGTCACAGGCTTTAATATTTCTTTGAGAGTTTCTTGTATATTTAGTTTTTCTTGGGTTCGTATTGTTTGTATGCATTGAGCATGGTCTTGGTCAGGTCTAATTGTTGGTCTTTTTATATTTTCTGTTCAACTATTGTTTTCAAAATTTGTTCTATATTGTTCTGGGTTTGGCATATTGCCATAGTAAATATTTGTAATAAGATATAATGTCAAGATAATGATATTGTTTTTGTTGAATAATATGGGCTAATTATATTATGGTAATATTAAATTATTTGTCAGTTGTTGACGTGCTTGTGCTATATTTAACAGTTTTTCTGGCACCTTCTTTCAAGTGCTTAATTCTTCTTTTGAGTATATGATTTTCATTTTCAAGATCTTTTACTTTAGTTTCCAGGGTTTCAATTTGTAATAATGATTTTAGGGTTGATTTTTTAAGCGTTGATTAATGTCATTATTGACTTTCTCATTTTTTGCTTGTAAGTTCAAGGTTATTAATATTAGTTTTTTAAGATCTGACGCATTTTGAAATATATCTTTTTAATATCGAACTTTTGTAATTTCTTTAATATATTTATCTAATTCTTCGATATTTTGTAGTTCGTATTTGAATTCATTGTCACTTTTATGTTCTTCTTTATTTTCTCTGTACCATTGTATTTTTCTTTGTAATTTTTTTCTGCATGAGATTCTAACTAAATCTATTTCTTCAATATGTTCTTTTATTTCTAATTCTGTTTTTCTTTTTTCTTTGACTTCTTCTAAGCTTTCTTCTATTTTTCGTATTTCTTTATTTTGTTCTCTTGCTGATATATTTTCTTTTAGTTCCTTTTTTTCATTATCGAGGTCAATTATTTTATCTTCTATTTCCATTAAACAATCTAAACAATATTCATTTCGATAGTCTCTATTTTCAATATGTACTTCTGATATTGGCATTAGGCATGCTTTGCAAAGATTCCAAGCTTGCGTTTCTATTTGTTCTTAATAGTCTTCTAATTTTTTTTTTCTTTAACATTTATGATCATTGAGTTTTCCAATCCTATTGTTAGATTTTCATAGTCACTATCATAGTCTTCAGATTCTTCTTCAGTTATTTCTTTATTTCCATTTTGATAGTATCAATGGTAGTTCATAATGTCGTCTGATTGTTTGTCAATAATAATTTTGAAGTTTGGGTTGTTATAGTCTTATTGGTCTGTTTCAGTCATATATTTATAAATTTCTCTGATTTTTGATTCGTTAATATGGTAATGTATGTTTGTTTGGTTTCTAATATATGTATGGATTTTCTTCATTATTTCTCTATTGTCTGTAATTTGTTCTTCTAGTTGGTAAATGAGATTTGTGAATTTTTCTTCTTTATTGCAAAAGAATCACATTTGCCAATTTTCCATTCTTCTCTTGAGTCCTTGTTTTTCATATAAGTAACAATTTACAAGTCTTTCTTGTTCTATGGTCTGATAGTATTTTTCTACTCATTTGTCTCTAATATCAAGTTCTTCAAGGTATTCTCGGTAACATCTATTACACATCATTTGTTCTAGTAGCAATATAGGTTCAAAATTTCTTGATAATTTATATAGTCCTTGAATGTAATATAGGTTTACAGATGCTGTGGGTTTACTGCAGTTGCAACAATGATGGTGGTCTCGATTTTTTGAATATGAAGTCTATTCTTTATATTGCTGTTGTCTTAGTAGGATTTCTTCTATATCACATCCGCATAATAAACTTCTATTTTCTTTTAGTACTCTATATGTTTTGCAGTTTTCATTTCTATGATTTTCTTCACAAAATCTGCATATAAATTCTCTTTGGGATGATCCTGGTTGGTATTTCCAATTCTTGTTACTAGGATTTTTGTTCTATTCCCAATTTTGGTTATTAGTTCTATTTGGGTTACTATAGGTTCTTTGCGGATTATTATTTGATTGGTTCGATCTATTCGGACAATCTCTGATTGGTGTCCTAATTTGTTACACGAAAAACATTTCTGGTCTGGGCAATATCTGTTTGTGTATCTTTTCTTTTGGCATATTCCACAGGTATAGTCTTTGTTGCTTTGTCTTTGTCGGATCTCATATAAGGTATTGTTAAAAGCTTCTTCATTGTTAACATATTCATTAAATACTTTTGCTATTCTTTCTTCAATTGTTGTTTGGTCAGAGTTCTTTTGGAATTCTTCTTCTAATATTTCCTGAAGTTCTTCGTTATACTTTCTAATTTGTTCAAGCTTGCATTTTTTAATTCTTTATTCATATAGTAAAATCGTATAAGGTGTTCTTCAGGGTTGTCTACATTTTTATCGCATTTTTCATAGTAATTTGCTTTATTTTCTTTACTTTCAAGTCTTATAGCAATCTGTACTATTGCTAATTTATTTTTACTCATTCCTGTTTGATACATTGTTAAGAGCGCTGCTTGGTTCCTCATAGTTTTGCAATTGTGGTTTTCCAGGTTCTCTACATGTTCTTCACACCATTGGCAGTAGTTTGATTCGCTCATTTTAGCTTTTTTTCAATTTTGGATTTTAGTTGTTTGTATACTATTGGGGTACTTCCGTCAGATCTTTGATATTTCTGATTAGTCTTTCTTTTTCTTCAATATATGTTGGGGTTTTTGATTCAAATATCTGTTTCTGTTTTATTGTTTTAATTATTTCTTTCACTGTTCCAGAATGTATTGTATAATAATTTTCGTTTTCTCCAAAGTTTTCTTTAATTAATTTATCAAGTTCTTTATTGTTAAGTTGTATAATTTTCTTAATTCCTTTCCTAGTTTACTGTCGTAATCATTGATGTAAATTGGGTTCGCACAGTAGGCGCAGCGTACATAGATTTAAATTTGCGCGTATAATAGCACTCTCCATATATAGTGCGCATATAAAATTTTTTTTTTGTGCACTTTTTTTTGCATTTTTGCCAATAAAAATTTTTGAATTTATAACACTGGTTGTAATTGCAATCGTGTGAGTTGTAACTTCCATATCTCCAACCTGAATTGCATTCAATACAGTAATGTAATGCGTCATCATAGAGTCATTTTCTTAACCAATTTATGGTATCAATTTTCTGGTGGTAATTTATAGTTTTGTTTTGTTCTGTAAATGTTATTTTTTCTAGGTACTTTATTATTATTTTTTGTTCTTCTTTAAATGTTGGTTCCTCTAATTTTGCATCTCTTACTTTCATTAAGATTTCTATTTTCTTTTCGTTATTAATTATATTTTGGTCTTTTTTAAATTCTTTAATTATTTTGTCAATTAATATTCCAAGTTTACTTTTAGTTATTTCTGCTCTGATCATCTAATAGTAACTTCCTCATTGGTTTGCTGAATATAGTATTTCTAGTTGTTTTGAATGATATTTTTGTTTTAATTCCGATAGTTTCTGGTCTATTTCCTTTTTAACGTCTTCGGTTTTTATTGGAGTTAGTTGAATTGATTTGAAGTTTGTTAGGTTATAATTTGGTCTTAGTTCTAATCCACTTTGCAATTGTTTCTGTATTAAATTATTTAACTAGTATCTATGTTCAAAATCTTCTGGTTTCTGTTCTGCAAGTGCTATTGATCCTAAAATAATTAAGTATTTATCAAAATCTTCAAGATCTTTTTTCTTTTGTGGTTTGTTGAATTCTTTGTATAATAGGCTGTTTTCAATTTCTTGACGTTCTTCAGTATAGGATATAGTTGTTACTTCTGATTTCTTGGTGTAGGTTATATTATAGTTTTCTGATTTTAGTTTTTGTTCAGGCTCCAAATAGTTTATCCGTTCTTGGCAGTTGGTCATATAAGTCTTGATTATTTAGTTTACTTTTAATACTATTAGAGTTAGGCAGGTTATGGTTTTCAGGTTACTGATCCTAGATTGTATTCAAGATTCAATTTCTCCAAGTTCAAGTTCTTTTGGGGTAATAACTCTAGATACTAAATTCTTAAGTTGTTCGATTTGTTTTTTAATTATTCTTTGGTTCCTTTTTAGTTCTTTGATTATATGTTGGGTATCTATCATTTAGGAACTATTGTAGTTTTTCCATTATGTTTTGAATGTCCTTCAGTTAGTTGTTCAGGGTGTCTTTATATAATTATTTCTTATCAGTAGTTTATTCCAAATCTGAATTCGTATTACTTGTTGATTGTATTTTATCAATGAGTTCTTTATTTGTATCACGTAAACATTCAATAAACGCATCCCATAATTTTTGTTTATTTTGGCATTTAAAGATGTGTTCAAATAAATGATAAGGTAAATTTTTCTTATTTCGGTTTTGTCCTGGTATATTATCTTTAAGAATTCGCCAAGTATATTCAATATTGTTTGTGTGCATTATTTTTAGTTTATTTGATTTTTCATCTATTTCTGTTACAGTTATTCCTTTGCTGTGATTTATTTGGTAGTATGCAATATTTAGCTGTTCATATATTTTGTCATAACTTTTGAACATATCTGTATAGATTGTTGATTTTGGGTGTATGTGTTTTTGAATTAGGTTTAATAACATTTCAGATATTCTATCTGGTACTACTTCTACAAAGAATTCTTTTGTGTTTCGGAATATTCCTCTAAATACCCATACTTTATTTGCTTTGTTATTTTTCCTATCTTTGTAAAATATTGATTTGTCACATTCTACAATATCATCTTTGCCCCTATTTTGTTTTCAAATTCTCTTATTTCTTGAGTCACACATGTTCTAAATATTTTGGTCTAGTGTATTATTGTTGGTAATGATATTTCTGTAAAAATGTTGATTTGTTTCCTCCTGGCTTTAACAAGCCAATAATATCCAATTAATAATATTTGGTTGCAAGATAAGTTGGCGTTTGAAAAGATTGTGCTATTAAATAATGATATCTTTAATCTACAGTCTCAATTTGGGCATTTAAAGACTTTTTTACTTAAGGTCATTTGCTGCAAACAATAAATATTTAGGCATTCCATTTCCCGTGGTAGTATTTCTTTGGTCATCAAGTATTCTATACATTTTGATTCATCTTCAAATATTTCTTTAAGTTTGTAATACGGTGGTATTGGTCTAGTATTGGAAATATTGATTTCTTCCATCAGATGTTTTCTTATCTGTTTTGATTAAATTTGGTTTTTTCAGCTTTTTAAGGTTAGGTTTATTAATTTTGTTGGGTGCTTTTGGGTTAAGGTTTGTTCCGTTGGGTGCCTTTATATCTTTATCTTTGATTTCAATATTTAGTTTCACAATCTGATTTCCATTTTCATCTATTTCCATTTGTCTGCTTAGCCAATCTGCTATAGTATTATCTTTTTCTTTGATTCATTTTACAGTCCAATTAAAGTCTTGTAGTTTGATAAGCCATCTTTCCATAATTTGATTTCTTAGCATTTTTTCTAATGAGTCACTTATGCTTGTGTTGTCAGTTCGTACAATTACATTTTTAGATCTTATGTAATATTTCCAATAATTTAAATAGAGATATATTGTGTAAAGTTTTTTTTGTGTACTTCTCCATAACTGTTCATTGGGTTTTAATGTATGAGATGCCAATTCAATTATTTCTTCTTTGGATTTGGTGTAGTCATTCTTATCTTTAGTTCTATTTATTCATGCATCTTTTGTTTTATAATGTGCTAAATTTGGATTAATTTGTTTTAAACATGCATCTATTCCTTTATCTGAGGCATCAGTCTCTATTATCAATTGATATTCCTTTTTAGGATAAGTTAATGCTATCGCATTATACACCTTATCTTTTAGTGTTTCAAATGCTTCCTGGTGTTCTCGGGTCTATTCGAATTTTGAGTTTTCTTTAATAGATCATATATTGGTCTTGCAATATCTCCGAATTTCAGTATGAATCTCCAAAAATAATTTATCGATCCCATGAATTGTTGTACACCTTTCTTATCTTTTGGTGGTTTGATTTTTTGTACTTCTTCTTTTTTCTTTTGGTTCGGTAATATTTGTCTGTGTTGTACTTTATAATTTAATATCATTATTTCTTTCATTATAAATTCACATTTTTCAGCTTTTAGAGTAAGGCCCACTTTTTTTATGTGTTCAAACACTGTTTGAATATGCTGAAAATGCTCTTCTATAGTTTGACTTTTTATAGTTAAATCACCCATATATACATATACATAATCTAGATCTTCAAATAATTGAAACATATATCTCATCATATATGCTGGTGCTGTACTAATTCCCATCGGACATTTTGTAAATCTAAACTTTCCTACATCTGGAAAGTATACAGTGCTTCTATCTTTATGTTTCATTTTCAATGGAAATTGATAATAAGCACTTTTAAAATCACAGGTTGAAAAAATTTTTTGCCTTGCTATTTTTTGAAGTATTACAGGTATATTTGGTATTTCAAATAGATCTTTTTTTAAGTATTTGTTTAATAATGTATAGTCTACTGCAGCTCTATAGCTGCCATCAGGTTTTGGCACTATTACTAGGGGTGCTATCCAGCTTGTCCTGGAAGGTTCAATTATGTTTGATTCACTAAGTTCTTTATATAATTTCTTTGATTGTTCTATTTGTTTGTCAGAATAATTTCTTAATGGTCTTGCTTTTTGATTTTGTGGTATATCTCTTTCTGGAGTGTCTAGTTCTAATTCTATTTCTCCAAGTCTTCCAAAGTATTTTTTATTAAAAGTTGTTCCTTTTTCTTTTTTTATTCGGAATATTTCTATATATTTTATGAATATTGGTCTCATTTTATCTCTATGTTCTTTATTTGTATTTTTGATAAGTATTTCTATACGTTCTTTTTCTGTTAATTCTTTTTCTCCAATTTTTATGTCGTACTTGTACTTGTTCATGTTATTAAATTCTTTAAACTTCTTTAGATCTTTGCTAATTTCATTTATTATCCTTATTTCGTCTATTTTAGTTATATTTCTGGTATGGTCTCCTTTTTGTATTACTTTGGGCTTGTTTGTATAGTTAATCATTCTGATTGTCCAATCATTTATTAATCCATTTTGTACGCATATGCCTTCTTTCGCAATATGCAACGGTGTTGTTACTAAATAGTTTTCTCTTTTGTCAATATTAATTGCTGTTCATGTATTTGGTAATAATACGTGCTGATTATTACTTCGCAATGGTTTTCCAGTTCCTAATATGGATATTATATATTTTCTATATTCATTTGGTATATGTACTAATTTTTTATGGATTTTTAATTTCATTCCTTTTTCAAGTTTTACTGGTTTTGTTTCTAATATATTAATTTCTCTATCTTCATTTCCATATCCATAGTCTGGTGTTTTTTCTTTATGACTAGGTGTTCCAGGTCTATTGGTTATTGGTTTTAAATATGGCGAGTTTGTGTCTTGGTTTATTCTTATTTTTATGAGGTCTTGATTATATTCTGTTATTATCGATGGTTCCTCATTTCTACTTTGTTGTTCTTGTTGCATTTTAATATATTCTTCTCTTAGTTTATTTTTATCATCTTTTAGTCTTTGTCTATAGTCTCACATTGTCATTTGTTTCCTTCTTTCGAATGAATCTTTTCTTGCTCTTTCAAATTGGTCAGTTGGTTGCAGCTTGGTCTTTTACTACATTTTTAGCTATATTTTTATTATTGTCCTTTTTGAAGTATGTTGTTAGGTTTATGAAGTTGAGAGTATTTCATATAAACGATGGTGTTAGTGACTTGGTCTGTTTGGTTTGTTCAACTTGTTCTACTTGTTGGTCTGTATTAGTGTCACTTTTTGCTCTTAAATATCCATCATCTCCTACTTTGTATTCGGTGTTTTCTTGGTTTAGTATTATATCTCGTATTTCTGGTTCTAGCGGTGGTATACTGGGTATGCTTTCTGTATCTTTGAATATTAAGCTATCATCTTGGTTTAGCAATTCTTGGGATATATTTCTTATTATTTCCTCATCATCTCTGGAATAGTTACTATTATATGTTGAGTTACTTTTATATGATAAATCACTTGTTGATTCATTATTTACTTTCTTCCTATAGTTGTTAAAGTCTTGTTCAGTGAACAATACTTGGTCACTTTCTGATTTAGGTTCGTAGTTTGGATATGTTATTTGATAGTCATATCATGGTTCAAATTTGTTTTGTTTTGGTGCCTGAGATGTTGATCCAGGTCTATTCCAGTGTTCTAGTTTGCTTCCAAAGTTGTCCAAATCTCTTTGGTAAGCTTTATCTTCTAGTAGGCTTTCTGAGTCGCTTTCCCTATCTATAGTTTCATATATGTTTTCTAATTTTTGTTTCTTTTCTTCTTCTAATTGTTTTTGTTTTTCTGACTCTATTTTCATTTGTTTGAGTAGTTCCTCTTCATTATTTATTTGTTCTATTGGTCTTGTGTTTTCTATATCTATCATTGCAAAATCTAAATACTTTTGATTTGCTTTTTCTCTAATTTCATTATCAGGTTCTAATTCTGATATTAATAATAACGTTTGTACTACTGCATGTTGGTCTAATTCATCCATATTTCTGAATTCTTCAGGTTTCATTTTCAAAGTTTTCTTGATATCTATCTGATATTTTTTTTTTCTTTCTTATTTCTTTCTTTACTGACTCTTTTGTATAATGCTTTTGGTCATCGTACCATGTTAGGAAGTTATAAAGTTGTTCCTTTTCTGTTCCTCTGTAATTTCTAACTTCTTATGGTAAGGTTGGTATACTCTTAATTTTTTCTATAGTCTTATGAATATCTTTTGAGTTCATTTTATTTACTTTGTTGTATTGAGTTTCAATATTTAATATATTTAGCATTAAATCTTCAAGATCTTCAGTAATTTCTTCAGAAGTCTCTTTATTTCGCTCTTTTTTGATTTCTTCAAGGTCTCTATTTGTTGTATTTAGTAGTCCTGAAAATGCTGCTATTATTGGCGTTTTTGGTTGTTTTACTTTTGTTGATTTTATTGCTAGTGAGTATTTATTTCTCATCAAATTTATTTTACTTGCTATTCTTCTTGTTTTTCTATCAAGCAATCATTTGCTTTCTGCTTCTTTCTTAGGATTTTGGTATTTCTCTTGTTGTTCTATCTTTAGGTTTGCCATGGTCTTTATTATATATTCTATTGGATCTTCTTTGAATTGATATATTTCATGTAATAGTAATTCTCTATATTGTAATCCTTTGGTCGGGTCCCATTTGTTTAATTCCTTGATTCTTGTTTCAAGTTCTTTGTTGAGCTCTCTATCACTTGGCAGTATGTCATTTGCATAATACCTTAATGTTCGTACTTCATTTATTTGTTCTTTTTTATTCCAGTTCATTTTTCTAGGTGTTTCCAGTATACTTGTATGCATTCTTTGTACTAATTCTTTAAATATTTCTTGTGCTAGCTGTCCGTTTAGCATGTGTTTGTGAATGTCTTGTCCACTTCCAAATACTGTTGGTTTAATGTTTATCATCTGGCCAGTTTTTGTTTTTTGAGTTTTAGTGCGAACGACATTATTCATATGTAATAGTCGTATTTCCTTTCCATAATCCTCAATCACTTTGAGGTGTTTTTGCCTGCTCCAGCTGCAAAGTAATGCTGTGTGTCAAAACACAACTTTATTCGGTCTATCACTTTATCAGTTGTATCCTTTTTATACCTTTCGTCTTTTGGTATGCTATTCTTTATTTTGAGCAATTCTTCAAATGTTGCTCCATAACACTTGTTTGATACTAAGTTTTCAAGTAAGATTATCACATTTGTTGATACTGTGTTTTGAAGGATGTATTTTAGGTTTTTAGTTATTTCTTTAGGGTCTGTTTCCTTAGTTGATTCTATATAGAGTATATAGTTTCGTGCTTCTATATTGTGTGCTCTTTGTATTTCTTGCACTATCCTTTTTGTTTTCCAGTTAATTTCTTCTTGTCTGTTCAGCAAATTCCCACTTATTGTCAATCCCATTGAAGCGTGTATTACTAGCTTTAATTGTGCCTCTTTATTTCCTTGAATGATTTTAATATCATTCTGGATGTTTGGCAATCCTCTTTGCAGGGTTACAAAGTTGCCATATGCCTCATTTTTGAATTCTCCTTTTATAGGTATATACTGTACAAAGGTTTGTATGAGATTTGCTCCAGTTTCTATTATAGCCTCTACTATGTCA